ATACTGACATGTCAGCCCACAGGGAAGATGTTTTGGAAGACTTTCATGAGCCCAATGGAGGGGCAACAGTTGGAGCTTCTCATTGAATTGGTCTATTGTACAAAACAGCACATTATTCCTCACAATTGTGTCACACTCACTTATATTTGACGGTTTACCCAAAACAGCAAGAATTGAAAAAATTTGGATAGTCAGTTTAAGTGAGCACAACAAATCCACATGATGGAAAAGCAGTAGCCAAATCAGGATCAGACAATCCAGATTCAACCATTGTGAAAGTTTCGGATGAGGGTGAAGTTACTTCTTGTGAGGAATGTAACTGCAGCTCACAATGACCTGTTCAGCACTGATGTGACATGTTGGAATAAAACAACTGAAATTGTTAAAATAAATGTTCAAAACCACAACTGTGATTGGCCTCTATAAAATAATACAAAAATTTACAAATATCAGAAACTGTTCATGGAAAACCCTCTTCATACATAACAAAACAATGATGGCTTATTGCTTTGTTAGGCGACTATTTGGAGATTTGTGAAGGTGCATTTATGGCGGTGACTTTAATGACTGGAAACAAGTTGCAGTTATCGTTGTTGAGCATGGCAGTGACATTTGTCACAGAAATACAGTGTTTAATCGGATTTCTCGAATTTAAGCCAAAGGAGACTTAAAACTGAAAAGAGAGTTTGAATAAGACTATGCATATTGGAGACAGGAGGCTTCAGTTAAGTTGCTGGTTGAGCATGGGCAGTTTTTTAGAGGCGACACTTCCCCAATAATGGTAATTACTAGGTCAGTTTGATCCTTGTCTCCAAGAAGATATAGAAATGCTGGTTAAAAAAAAAAACATCATAAAAACATAAGAAAAGCTACAAGTGACAGAAAGCCCTTTAGCCTATCTAATCCAGTTGGTAGTTAATAGTAGCTAATTGATCATATTTGAGCAAAGGTATCTGGGAGGAATTTATTACCTTTAGAGGGCTGCTTTCAGAAATAAACAGTTGCAGTTTACAGACTTTTCAATTATTGATTCCATTCTGGATTTATCCCACAATGATCAACTTCTGCTTGTCTGCGATGTGTCCCAAGAGAGACAGATTTGAGAGCATCTTCTTTCATTTCTCCCAGTAAATCATACTGGAAAATTGCTTTGTATTTTAGTTTTACAGCAGTTGGATACTGGCACAGTAAATTCCAGACATCAGTGTTATGATATAGAAAGGATTGCAATCACAAATTAGAGATATATCAGATATGCTCACACCGTAAGAATTCTTCACAACAGAAACATTGTGTTTTCTCTCTTCTCTTTTCAACATGAAATAAACCTGTTACTTGTTCCTTTCCAAATAAGAGATGGGTGGATACCTTGTGTAGCTAACACTCTCAATTTAAATGGGGTAACGAAATTCAGGATTTTTTTCCTTCAGTCACTTACAGTACTGCTCTGAATCAATGTTTTGCTAGCTGTTACTGCAGAACTAGAGACAAATGATAAATAGAGATGCTGCATGCTCTGTCCTCAAACTGGTCATCATATGTACAAGATACAAAAACACTTCATTTCTGTTACGGAAATATTCAAGAAAATCTTCAAGATGTAGCCAATGATCCATTTAAAACCCAAATACTAGACAGATACCAAAACTCGCTCACAGCTCATGAAAACGCCTTTGCCCCTGTTGTAAAACATGTGGTATCTTTAAAGGATTTTGTGGTTGGTTTACAGTTATGTTTAGTTGGACTGCTTTAAAACTACTCCCTAGGAATGACATTTCATTTGTCAACAGTATAAATCAGAAAAACAGTGAAACAGAGTGTAAAGAAACATAACAAATGTGAGATTTTTCTTTGCAAGAGAATCAACGTAGCTATTGCCAAACCTTGTGGCACAACCTGTGCCAGATATATGAAGCATACAAAGAAGCATGCAGTGACTTTGTATTAATAATATTAATCTTCCATTTGCAATAGAAATATGTTTCAACTGCGAAACTAAAGAACACAGTACCGAATTACTGTACAACAGGATTTTGTGAATTAAGTTGAATTATTGTGGTTTTCCCAAACAGAGACCAGTGACTTACTTTCGAATGAACAAGTGATGGCATTGTTCTCTTGATAAGTGGGGCATACTGTCTCCTTTCTGTTATTCTGTCTTGATTTTCACCAGGCTGATGAGCACAGTTAAATCTGCTCATCACTTCTTCCCAATCAGCTCTCTCACTAATGAGGTGATTAAGTGGGTATGTAACAACGTTCCCTCGAATGCATCACAATCAGTACTGGATGACCAATTAATCCACGTTTCAGCAAAAACTATTAAAAATATCCAAAATTCATACACAGCCTTTGGTCAAGTAACACAATTTGTTCCTTAAAAAGTGTAAAGTGAACATTCATAACCAAATGTGAATTTCCCATTCATTTACATAGAATACCTTCAGACTCATTCCCAAGGTCTGGAAAAATCATCAGATATTACACATTTCTACCCCCACAGAATGCCGAATAACCAAAATAAGAATGCTGTTATTTATAGTAATTATCACATTTACCCTAGCACAAGATAAATAAAATACACCATAACATGTCTAAGAATGGGGGTGCACTGAGATGCTGTGTTTTGAGAGCCTGCAGTGACAAGTTGTGCTATAAGGATGGAATCTTCTATAACTATAAAGGTTGCACCTTTACTGTAGAGAAAACCTCTTCATGACCGCAAAAGACAGGTATGAAAATGCTAAGTTGCAGTGAAAATTTGTAAACCTGGCATTTGTAAATGGAGGGATGAGTGTACGTTTTTTCTAAAAAAAAAGATAAGTGTTAAATTAAGAAGAATAGACATTGTTTACTTAGAATGTCTACTGCTAGCATTTTGAAAGTTCATGACTTTTAGAAAAAAACATCTGAAAACCTAAAAATTAATTACTGCTGTTGCTTATTAAAAGAATTCTAAAAATAATTACCTTTGCTAAATCTGTAATAACCATTCTCTAGAATGTGCCACATAGATGATGTTCTATTATATAAATATTAGAATTTCCCCATCCCTTGGTTTTAACTAGGACATCGAGACCAGAGGATGCTCGTAAGGCAGAACAGATCCTGTTTTGGGCTTTACAGAAGGGATGGCTGTCTTTTTCAATGCAACATTCTTTCGTGTGCTAATCATAATGCAAGGGAAGTCTTTTTAAATACCTTAAAGCTCAATTTGTGCTACACCCAATTACGTTTGACAAGTTATTTGCTATTTGACAAGTCTTTTTTAAGTTGTCACAAACACCAGAACCATGAGGTCAACCTTGAATGGCAATCTTTGAGACACTGTATGCCCATATTGATAACATTTTTATTCTTACTCAACAATTGTTGCCCTTGTGTGGAAGTAATCCTCCCATGCAACTTGTCACACATTTGGGTAAAACTTAATGGCCTCTTTCTGGTGGAGGAGTGAACAACCCATTAGCCTTGAACTACTTGATGATGGACATCACAGTCAAAACAGATGTCTTATGTATTTTGTCGCCTTCAACAGAACTAGATTTCAAACAATTCTCCAATATCCTCCCTGATGCTGTGATACTGAGTGTTTTGTTTCTGCTCCATTAATTCCCAGCGGCAATCAAGGTGACATCCAGAAACCTGCTGAGGCTATGTAAAACTACCATATGACTAAAAAAGCAGGATTAGACTTGCAGGATCTACCTTCTGCATATTTACAGGACACGCATATACTGTACTTGTGACTTTAGAACTCTGTTTATGTAGTTTCCAACAGTATTATGAATTTATACACTTTTCATACATTTATATTAAATTAGAAATTAGAAGCTTTTTCTATGCTACTGTAAGTCAAATACAAGTTTCTGTAAATTTCTTTATTTGTGAGAAGCATATGTTTCAGAGACTGACTACTTGGTACTGATACTAATTGTTACAAAAAGTGTTTTGTAGTTACGTTTGCAACTTTCAGCATTTTTATAAAAAATTATTCTGATTCTTCTGCTTTATTTCTCTGGACAAGAAGCACCATAGGAATGACTAGTGTGCTTGCATGGCATATAAACAGGTTACCAAGGTTTCACCTTCTAATCTATTAATCTGTGTATAAAGATCAGAGGCCCTGTATCATCACTTGCCATTCAAGAAATCAATAACATTCAGAAAAATGCACCATTGTTCCACTGTACATTGGGGATATAAAAAAAAGGTGCTATCTGATGTGTGGGAGTTATTAATAAGTGAAAATTGCATTGTAATGTCCAAGTGTCCCCATAATTTTAACCACGAATAGGCACATAATGTACCAAGACAAATGTAAATAGGTATTTCAAAAATGTTAAATATATTGCTCAAATATATGCTTTTATACCTGTTGAATGCTGTCAGAGCTATCGTGAAATGGCTAAAACCAACTACCTTGCAGATATGGGAAACAAAACATTTGTGGTGTCACAACATAAGGCACTGTATGGGTTATCCAAATGTCACAACACAGACCCACTAGCCCCATCACTTAGGGCCATACCAGAGTATGGCGGCAATACCAATGAAATCTGTTTAAATGTTAGATACTAAGGAATTGAAAGGATATCTGAAACTGACATAATATTCCAAATGATTTTCTGAGAGTAAACAATCTAGTGCAACACAAAATTCCTTTAACATCTTTCAAACATACTATGCTGTGCGTATGTCTTGCCTATTGCCAGAACTCAAGATGCTACGTGGAAGTCCTTTAAGTGAAAACCAAAGACAGCATATTTTTAATTAATTAGTTTTAAAATATAGAGATTTTAAATTTAAAATCCATACACTTCTCACCATGTTTCCTTAAAACCCTGCAGTTCACAATCGGGGTGAGAAAAAACAACCAAATCAGTCAGGTTCTTCTTTAAAAACCCTTGAAAATTCCTTAAGGACAAAAGATGTAAATTAGAAGCATTAATTCAGCTTAGAAGCATAACAAAGAAGGACATTTTTATGCCTCAACTCACCTTGTTTCATGAAGGTCCAAAATGTAAGATCTATCTCAGAGTTTTATAGTGACCGTACTGCTCTTGTGTATAAGAAAAAAAAAAAGAAAGCTTTAGGTTTTCAGCATCCAATTAAAAAGGGGTTATGCTCCCGAGACAGCACTCCAGTGTTATAGGGAGTATAGGCTATTGAAAGAAGTACTGCAGCTACAGCTTGGGAGGTGGTTTCTTGCAGCACAAAAGCAAGCCAGACTCTCTAATCACTTTTGTTTTTACAAGGGATTTCAGTAAAGTAGTGTCAAGGCTTTAGAGTAACGTCCATAAGAGCATTCTTCTTGCCTTTGTCCTCCACCTATCTCCCACCCCCTCGACCACCACCACCACCTTTCCTGAGAAGGGAAATGACACAAGCGGGCAGACTACTTTTTCTTTCGAACTCACAAAAGATGTCCGAGTGCTCGAGAGCAAATGGACACAGCCAGCAGTCCATACAGAGAGCTCTTATTTGATCTGAGACTTGCTGAGACGCTAACGAAGCCAGAGGCAGACAGGCCAGAGGGAAAGCTTATTTGAGCACAAATTTAACGTTTATTCATCAGGACGGCTTTCCCTTTGAGGAGCTGCCCAAACACAGCCCTCGCAATCCAGAGTCAATCTTTTCTTGCTGCCTCTTAGCAAACACATGGGAGCCTGGGAATTTCTCCCACATACTGATAAATCAAGGGCTGCCCCTTTCACACGCTAACCTTTAGTACCTTTAGAAGGAGATGTCAAATTTCTCTGGGACTCTCGGATTTCACATGGTGTAAATCAGTTGAGCATGGAAAAAAAAGGTGCTTTACATGTTGTAGGTACAATTATGCAACATATCAAAAACTCACAGATCATGCACCCTCCTTAGTAAAAACATTGATGGCAAACAGGTCATTGCATGCTGAAGCGAATCTGACACCAAATGAGAACATGAAAGCCATGAAAGCACCTAGAAACAATAACTGGTCTTTAACCTGTTGACATTACTGTAGAAAGACAGCCCCTATATACTGAAGTTGATTTATTTTTCCCTTCTTTTATAGGACTTCACCAGACTTTGCTAGATGTGAAGCTGAGCCCAAAGGCTCATACAGATAATGGTAAACAACGGTCATCATTATCATCATTATTATTCGTGGAATACATAAAGTAAGCAGAGTTAAAAGCTGCTGAAAAATGCTAAAAAAGGTTTATCTAAATGCTTGAGAGACACTTTATTTGAGAGCATTGCAACAAATCTATCCTCTTCCATCATTTCTTTTCTTATTTAGTGAAGGGCATCTGTTCTGACTTGAAGAAAGTCTTCCACAGGTTGGTATTATTCCCCATTCTTACTCAACAGTCTGTTACTTGTGCCAGAATGGTAAAATTCATTCATTCATTCTGCGCCTTCTCACTCAGCAGCATGAACACAGAAGTAAAAAGGGGATTAGGCTCAGAGACTTGTACTAATGTGATTGGGCTGGGAATAACTAAGCAGCGGCATTCAAATGTGTCATGCTCCCTAAGGAAGTATCTTTGCCAGAAAGCCCAAATGTAGTATTCAACAGCTGCTAAATAGGCCCAAACTTGAGTTGATATTAATGTACAACAGACCTCCCATGCCACTCCTTGTTTTCATTAAAAAGTAATGCAATTTATGAGATCTTTCATTTTTAGGAAAGGACTTTTTTTATTAATACAGTAATAAATGTAATGGCTGACACATAAATGTACAAATAACATACTTTAAAAAGTAAAGTATAAAACTGAACATTAGACGTAATATATTACCTGATTTCCATTTTTTAAATGTCTGCAGAATTCCGATCTGTAGACATAGTGCAGTTAATAGTAGCAAACATAGTAGAGCATAGCTTTTTTTCTTGAATTGTGCCTTTTCGTTTTCATGTAAGCACAGCGGAACAGAATCTGTTCAAACACTATAATTTAAACCAAAAAATCTTTCATTGCTAGCTAAATGAATAACGTAAAAAAGCCACCGTCGGTGTTAACACAGAGGTTTCATCCCATTCATTAAAATTAAAATGTTATCACCTCAAGCGGTTGAAGACATTGACTAACAAAGAAAAATGTCAGAATGAATACTGGCTATTAAAAGTATATGTTTTCAGGGGGCCCAGACATCAGTGGGAGGATGATTGTCTTCTTTGACAAATATATGCTATAAATACCCATACACATGTACTCATCTATCACAATCATCTACTGCCCTGACACAGATGGTAAACTTTTTACTAGTTGCTTTCTAAAAGATCATGGAGTTAAAAAGCAGATCCAGATAGCTAACCCACTTAACATCTCATTCCTCATACTTGTGCTCCTGGCTATGACACAAAGCCATGCATCAAAAGTAAATGGATACTGTAACAGGATTGAAAGATGGCCAAAAAAACTTCAGTTGGAAGACTACAGGAAACCACTTAACAGTACCAACCAGATTCTAAAACTTGCGTTTCTAAATGTGTTTAGTATATCAAACACTCAAATAACCTGCAAACTGCAAATAAGATGCCAAATAGGAGTACAAAGTATTACGATTAGATGAGAATACCTCCTTTATTGAAAACCTAAAAAGGGATTAATATTACTTTTTAAACATTTTGCCAATTTAAATGTGCATGAATAGATTTAACTTTGTGAATCATGCTACCATATTTTACATATGCTTTTAAAAACAATGCAGATAAAGAAAAAAATAAAACAAAAGGCTCATTGGCTACTGCTTATCTATACCATACTGGTCAATTAATCAACTTTCATAAAACTACTCAATTATACCTAATTACCCAAGTTTGATCCTAATGTCAAAAGGATTAATTTTATTTTAATGATGTCAATATATTCGGCTCCATATTGGTTTCATAAATGATGACAATACATTTCAAAAGGCTGATGTTGTTGCTTTATGCATGAACATGAGGATATGTCTCTTAGGTGAGCACTGCAGGCTGGAAATTAAAGTTTAATTTGGAATTTGGCAGGGAACACCTAGCTGAAAGAGCATCATGTTAGATATTTCGCTGTGATTTGCTTATTTGCATGTTGCTAAACATACAAATATATGCTGATGGAGAGGCTTTTTCATTTTATTTTAGCTAAATCTTTTTTTATGGTAACAATTCATTCAACTGAATGCCTCAATTGTTCAGATTCACCTAATATAATACACTGTATCACCTTTCTTTAAAAGCAAAGTGCATTTTTTACTAATTAAGAAGTTTTATCATCATTCAGTATCCTAAGAGTTGCGCATAACTGTTTCTTCAGTCCCTGAGATGCCCATGTAGGCACTGGAATCAGTCTTCAATAAAGAGCTCAACAGAAGAAACCAGGATCTACTGTCCTCCCACAATGAATGCCAAATGACCAAACAGCAGTCATCAGCAATGGCTATTTATGGCTGACAAACTGCCAATACTGTATTACAGATTCATTACGCATCAAATATACAAAAATCAATATCTAGCACAAAGGCTAGCTTCCCATTTCAAGTCAAGCCAGCTAATTAAAAGATCACTCATCATCAAAAGACAGTCAATTGAGTGAGACAAATGAACACAGGAACTTCTTTTCCGAAACCACCCAAACATACCATTTTTGTAAACATAGAAAAGCATGAATACAAACCTAACAACTCCTCAATACTAGCAATCACTCATTGTTAATGTATAGACCATCGAAAAACAACAGGGTTATACATGATTTTGATAATATGATGTTATGATCTATTTATATGATGAGTGGGTAAATATGGTTTCAAATTGAAGTAAAATTAATACAAGGTTTTTAAAAATGAATTTATTTATCTGTTGGATTTTTAAAACCAGCTTGCATTTTAGATGAAAACTATCTTGCCTTGAAGTGTTGGGGCCCTCTTTAAGGATCTGGATTAATTCTCTGAGCCATTAACAGTAGAGTAAAATTATAACTGACAGGCTTATAGAATTACATCATGCAAGAGGTCAACAGGGTTTCCCACAAGGCAGAGTTTCCAAATTATAATGAGGAAATTGAAGAGGGAGGAGGGAGCAGGGGGAGAAAGTTTTGGGGGGTTGATTTCCATAATGGTGCAAAATAGAGCAGTAGCTTAATAGACATACCACTGTGGCTAATAAAATGGATTAGCCGTAAGGACTGGCACAAATCCTGCAGTTCCTCTTCTGCGTCTCACAACAGGGCAAAACATCATTTAATGTACCAGCATTTCCTCTTCTGATACAACCACAGCATTAAGCATGTTTAAAGCTGCACATAAAGCAGATGTAGTTACTCCAAATTTGATGTATTTGTTTCATGGGTTTCACTGGCATCACCATTTAGAATGAAATTTATTTAATATATTCATTTCATAATTACTTGTGCCTTAATATGCACCTTAATTTTCACAACATGATGTCGTGCTTGCTAGACTATTATATAAATTCTGTACTGTAAAGCTAATTTTTACAGCTTATACCAAATGTTCAAACAAAAATAAATGTTCAGAGTATGCCACTCTCTTATAGCTCAGCTTATAACAAATTAATATGTTTTCAAATACACTAGTAAAAAACTAATGCTGATATTTATTCTGATTTTTTGAATGATCAGACCCATAACAAAATCAATATAAAGTTTATGTAGTCAAATCTACAGTACTTTAATCATTACTTTAAATTGTGTTGGTCAGTCTAAAACAAAACTAGAAAGATTGTCCTCAGTATATCCTGCCTAAAGCAGTCCAGAACATATTTTTTTCATTACATACTTATAGTTCATTCATGACTATAAGTCCACTGCCACAGTCTAAAATTGTAATAACTGTTTAGAATATTTCCTTGGTTAATTCTATGATGTTGGTGTTTCTCATCTATATTACAGCTAAAGTTCTATCTTACATTTTCAAAGTGAATTTAAGCAGAATAAACACTTTGCCAAAATTTTTAAAAAGTTCAACAAAAATGTTAAAAATGCTTGAAAATTTACCAAAAAAGAATGCATTCTAAAAAAGAGCTTTAATGTTTTGTCATATTAGTTTTAAGCTTAATATTAAACAGAAATCACAAATTGTATTATCAATATGCTGTAATGCTCATAGTTTACAGAAATTTTAAGAAAAATATATTCTCACACTCTTACAGATGTGATCAATTAATAAATTCCCCCAAAAAACTTTGTCATTGAATTTGGCAAAATGATAGTAAAATCTCAAGATGCAAAGCATCTTTACACATACAGTATATTTACATGGAGTTAACAGAGTATTGGCTTCTATGGAAAATAAAAATATAATAATAATAATAATAATAATAATTGCTTACAATTTCTGGACACAATTTCTGGACA